TTTTTAAATCAAGTTCATCCGAAATACGCTTTCTGTAGAAACAGAGTTACCGTGAATCTAATAAATGTAAACTTTCGAGTCCTGAAGCAGTTTCAAAATGTAACATAAATGGGTGTTTATGTTTGTAAAGTTTGCAAAAGTACAATAATTTTTAGTTCTTTTTCATAAAGAACACCCCCAAAATTGTATGAGCTTCAGGCCTCATAAGACCTGGATCTGTCCCTGCTTTATACATTGAATGAAACATAATTGCAGTTCTTCCTCCAGGAAGCAAAAAAAAAAAATTTTGTTTGATGATTGTGCAATAAACCAAGAGAGAAAATGCTGTGACACAGAAATCACCTGAAAATAGGAACATGGTGTTTGACAGCAGACACTTGGGCAGACCACATGTCCTGACAAAAGTGTATGAATTTGGCCTTCCCACATGGGATTAGCATTTTTTATCATATCATTTCACAAATAAGTATAAGCTAGTCTTTCAATGTATAGTGCTTTTCCTGTTAAAAATAATAACTTTTTCTTCATGGTCTGTATAGTAGTTGGCTATGATAGGTATGATGAAGTCATTGTCACCCCAGCCTGGGTACACAATTACACAATCTGTGTGCTTTGGATTCAGAGTCCTGACATACTTCAGTGCCAAGTTAGAAAAATGGCACCTCTATAGAAAATAGCAATTGACGGGAGAATCTGAGCTATCATATTGACCTTACCTAGCAGTGAAATTTTAGGACTCCACACAAATACAAAAAATAATCTCAGTAACAATCATTAAAAATAACTTTCTAGGTTTATACTTCAGGACAAATTTAGAGTTGAAATATAACTTCTCCTTGAGGCAAACACCAGAAACCCAGTTTCATGAATAGGGATATGGATCACCCTCAACTATTAGGAAATAAAAATTTTGTTTGAACTTTATTAATATTACATTCCATTTTTTTCACTTGAGTGTTTTCAATTTGTAAAAGAGAGCTAAACCACTTAACTATCAATACCTAATGCCAAGATACTACAGTAAAACCTGCAAAAGCCAGAACCCGTGTAAGGCAGAAATCTGCCAGAGAAGGAAAACTCAAGTACTATTTTCCACTAAAACCAGCAATAGAAAAGTGGTAAGACTGCACCCTATGAAAGGTGGAAAATTTGCGAGACCTGGAAACACGGGCAGTCCTATTGAGTTCCGGCTCTCACAGATTTCACTGTAGAGAAAACATCCACAGTTAAAATCATTTTTTAATGTTACCAAATATTTCCTACATAATTTAACATACCACAGAAAAATAGTATATCTTTTTCTTTCAAGTCTTCGTACAGTGAAAAAACAAAAACAAAAAACTTTGTACAAAGCTTGATTGGTATACATTAGGAAGTTTTCATATATGAGTCAGAACGAACTCAATGGCAATGGGTTTAGCAAGTTTTCGATTTAATGGTTGGAAGTAGAAAACAGTAAGAATTTACTCAGCTTGGTTTCATAAAACTTGCTACTTTTAGGCTTCAGGTGTTAAAAAAAAAAAAAGATTTAAAAACTTTTTATAAATCTCACACATTTCTCTGCAGCAAGTATTATGCCTTCAGTATCAGGTCCTGGTTTTCTCTAATGGTAATGACCCAGTTGTGGATCCTTCTAAAGGCTCCTCAGTTATGATTGAAGTTCCTGAATCATGATGTATTTGTTGTCCCAAATTATCCTTTTGCCAATAACAGATTCAGCCAAATCTTTGGAAACATTTACTTGTATTGTAATAACAGGTCTATTCAAATCACAATGTAAGTCATGATCCCCTGCTTAAGAATAATCATACCCACAATCGACCTGTGATTCCTTCCATGACCACTTACTTCTGCACTCCAACCGTGGAACCTGAGCTCAGGAAATTAATCTGGCTCCCTCTCACCTGCGGTATAAAGAAGTGCAAGGTCCTTTGCATGGCCTAAAAGGTACTGGTGACCTGGCCTCTGATTACCTGTCAAACTTTTCTCCCTCCATCTCACTTTTCTCCCTATGCTCCATGAGCTTACTGTCTAGTGGGAGAAACCGATGTTAATCAAATGATAATGCAGTGAAACCTGTGAACTTGACGGAACTGCCTTGTGTTTCTGAGTCTTGCAAGTTTTCCACCTTTGACAGGGTGAAGTCTTACCCCTTTTCTATTGCTCGTTTTAGTGGAAAATAGTATTTGAGTTTTCCTTCTCTGACAGATTTCTGCCTTACATGGGTTTCTGCTTTCTCAGGTTTTACTGTGTTAATGACTATATAATTATAACTTGAAATTAGTGCTCTAAATGAAACACACACAACCACCACCACCACCACCACCACCTAGGCTGGAGCCAAGGAGAGGAGTGGACAAGGAATGCTTCTCTAGGGAAGTTGTATTTGAGTTGCCATCTGAAGGATGAGTAACTGAGATAAAGTTGGAGAGCAGACATGGGCCAGAATATGAGGGCTCTTTTCAAGAACATAGTAAGGATTTAGTTCTTTATCTTAAGAGCAACAATTAGGCACTGAATGGTTTTAAGGAGGTGACTGACATGATTAGACTTGTGATTTGTAAAGATGCTCAGATTGGCGAATGGATTGAAGAGATAAATATTTATTGACTACCAAATTATAAGCAAACTAATTATGCTTAGCTAATTCTTGAATATTTTATATTAATCCCTTCTAATTGAAATTTGAATTTTAATGTCATCTTCTAGTGCAGCAGTGTGCAACAGAAATATAATGTGGGCCGCATATGTAATTTTAAATTTTCTTGTAGCCACATTAAAAATAGTAAAAAGAAAGGGGTGAAATTAATTTTAATGATATATTTTGTATAACCCATTATATCCAAAATACTATCATTTTGACATATAATCAAATAAAAATGTTTTTAATGAGATAGTTTACATTCTCTTCTTTTTTTGGAAAAAGCACATCTCAGTTTTGATAACTACATTTCAAGTGCTCAATAGCCACTGTGGATAGTGGTTCCCATACCGGACAGTGCAGTTGTAGGAACTTCATCTACTGGTTTCCAAACTTGGCTGCATATCAGAGCTGCCATACGAAGATACTTGTTTAAAATACAAATTTCCCAGCAGCTCTATTTTGATTAATTACCTCTGGGGAGAGACCTATAAATCTGTTTTTGATCAAGTGCTACAAGTCGGAATCAACTCTATGGCAGTGGGTTTGGTTTGGTTTGGTTTGGTTTGTACCAAGTGATGCTGATTAAGCAGTCCATGGATATGCATATGGGGATTACTGCATTATCTCAAAGTTGTGAATAAAATGAAACTTTTCAGCATCCTGGGAGAATTTGAGCAATGCAATGGGAAACCCAGCAGGAAGATATTTGGGACACCCCTCAAACCATTTCAGAAATTCATTATCATACATTATTGCTGAAAAGTTCAATCTGGAGACTTTCAGTTCCTGAAAAGATAGCAGACTAACAAAACTGCCTCCCTCCCCAAATCCAATCCTGAAGATGTCATGTAGCTGAGTGGAGGAGGGTGGATCTCAGAACCTAATTCAGAAACTCTGAAAAACCCCTAACAGATGAAAGGGAATTGAATCTCATTGTGGTGGGAGTCAAAGAAGGGCACCAATGGAAGGGTAGGGGGTGGAATGAAGGAATAGAATCTCTGATTGTGCCTTTTTCTACTCCACATTACCCCGGGTGGATCATAGCCAACTTCAGTGCAAGTTGGGGCATAAAAACTGCTGCACCTACAAGCCCAGCACCTACCCAAAGAGGAAGAGAAATGTCAGGAAAGCTGATAAACCACGCATAAAGGTTGGCTTGAAACAGTTCTTCTTCACCTACTCTTATCCAGTGGTCTAGCTGGCTACTACAGAGGACAGTAGCTCTTTGGAAATTGATGGCAAACGCAGGGTTACAGAGAGATAACCTTAGGCGCATGGTCTCCTCATGGGGGTGGAGGGCAGATTGGGACTAGTGGAGCTCAGATTGTGACACCAGAGACTTTCTACCCTGAGGCTCATCCACTCTCCTCCCTATCCCCCTCCCTCACACACAAAAAAAACGTGACCAGAAGAGTCACATTCCAAGTCTTAGCCTTTTGATCCTCTTTTTCAAATACACCTGAGACCTAAGGCTGCTGATACTCCCAAGGGAATATGAGATCACGGGGGACAACATCTGAGGAGTGTAATCCCATAAAACCAAAAAACCAAACCAGTTGCCGTCAAATCAATTCCAATTGATGGTGGCCCCATATAATTCAGAGTAGAACTGTGCTCCATAGGGTTTTCAATAGCAGATTTTTTTTTGAAGTAGATTGCTAGGCTTTTTTCTGATGCGCCTCTGGGTGGACTCGAATCTCCAATTTTCAGTTAGCAGCCACGTCGTTAACCATTTGCACCACCCAGGGGCCCAGTAATAACAGCCAACATATATTGAGTTTGTGTCAATTACTGCTCGCTGATTTCCATGCACAATTTCCTTTATTCTTCACACCACCACTAAGAAATTTGTATTATCATTGCCTCTAGTGTATAGGTCATCATTGGGACGGCACAGGACTTCGGTTGTGCATGGGGTCGATTGTGCTTGGGGTCGTCGTGAGTGGCCAGACCCCATGGCAGCTAACAACAGTGCATACGTGAAGAAACTGAAGCTTGGAAAAGTATATCATCAGGCGAATCGTCCATTTTTTCACCAAATTAGACTTAATAGTTAATACAGATTACAGATTACGGTGGGACTTCCCATTTCAAAACTGAAAGGGCGTTGCCTCTTTTCCCTCCCTCAGTCTTCGTACAACGGGCCAGTTGGGGTGTTCGGCCAAGGCACGGCTGAGGCCGCCTCCCCAAGGATGGGGACTCGCTAAGCCCCGCCCGGCGAGGCGGGAATCACAGTGGGCGTGACCTCACGCTGTTTCTCAGAGGAGCAGGGCAGGACCTCCGCGGAGCCGTAAAGACCTCTACGAGTCGTGAAGTGGCGAGGCGCCGGAGCGTTGCTTTACGACGAACTGAGTGATCGTTGTATCTCCACCGTACACGTGTGCTACTGTCGGTATTTGGTCCGGTAATTCACTCCTGGCGTGGAAACGGCCACATTCGGGACGGAGTGACAGCAGAGATCAAGGTCCGTGAGTTGATGGAGTTTGCTGCTGAAAATGAAGGGATAGCGGGAGGAGATTGCTTGAGTGGAGCTGAGGGGGCGCGGCTAAGACCCGAGTCGTGTAGGGAGGAAGTCTTAGCAGGAATGGCGAAGGCCTGCGGTGGAGAGGAGGGGAATGGGCTGACAGGAATGGAGAAAACAGGGGTTGGAGGGGAAGGAAGTGGACAAAAGGAAGAGGACATGCAAGTGGACCTGAAGGTTGTGAAGCAAGAAATTATAGACTGGTCAGAAATAGAAGAATACAAGTTAGATGCACAGTGGGTGAAACAAGAGGTGGAGGATGGGCCTGAGGTGAAGGATGAGAAAGCGGACACACTGGAGGTGAAACAGGAGATGGATGCTAGTTTGGTGATAAAAGAAGAGAAGATGGATGAACTGGAGATAAAGGAAGAGAAAGTGAAGGTGAAGAAAGAGGTTGTGGACTGGCTAGAAGTGAAGGAGGAGAAGGAGATTAAATTTGAGATAAAAAAGGAGGAGATATTGGGTGACCAAAACATAAAAGAGGAGGAGATGATGGATGGTGTTTGTGTAAAAGAAGAGAAGGATATCCTGAAAAGAGAAGTGATGGATGATACAAAGGTGAAAGAAGAGCCTGAGATCAATCCGCCAGTGAGCTGCAAGCGGAAACTGGCCATGTCAAGGTAGGTTGGGGAGAAATCTGACTGGGGGCCTACAGCTGTAGAGTTCTCTGTTGTCTGCAGTGAGGAAACTACATTCTACCTGAAGGGGATGGAATAATGAAAAGTAGTGCAAGTTTGGGTCCCTGAGAGCCTGAGTTAGGGGGTGTAGAGGAGGGACGATGTTGAATGTTGTCAGATGACAAGAAGTTCAATAGAATGTGTGAGGTTGGTAGTAAGTCAGATGGGCAATGGCCACGTTAGGAAATGAGAAGTCTGAGGACTGGAAGACCTCTGAAAACAAGATTCTAACTTGACTTCTTAATATGGTCTTAGCTTGGTATTTCTTTCAGAGGGGATGGAGATGAGGAAAGATCTAATAAAACCAACAATGCCAAATATGACTTAAGTTAATATTAGACAAAAAGGCACTTAAACTTGACAGTCTGGTTTCTGAATGGGTACTGTGAATAATTATTGCTTTTGATTTACTCCTTAATTTCCTTGTAGTGTATAATCATGTGACAAGATAGGAAATAAAAGTGATTAGATTCTTGGGAATATTACTGTATAGAATACAGTGGGTCAAATAGAAGTAGCTGTAGTTTGGCTGTCAGTACTTTAAGATCTGAGAAGGGCAGTTGAAGACAAGTGGTGGACAGTAGCATTTCTAGATTATTTTGATGCTCATCCTAGGTTGGGGGTGGAGTGAGGAAAGGACGCAGCTACTACTTTCTCTAAATTTGACTGGGTCTAATATTCTTTTTCTAGTGTGTGCTTTTAAAATATCTGTACATAGCTCATGGATCGGACTTCTGGATACATACACATGCACATACACATGTTAGGAGATTGTCAGGAAGTAAAAGTTAAAATATCAACGAGTAATCTCATTCTCTGTGTATAGTAGAAAAAGAAGTAAAAAATGAGATTTAAAAATTTTTAATACACGTTTTCTTGAATTACATATTATTAACAACATTGGAAATGTAGATGTCATTTGGAGGTGGTTTCGAAAAGGAAAATTTTCAAACAGTGCTTGACAGCTACCAAGTATTTTGCCAGATTTACCTTTGCATATACTTTTATTCAGTATGACTACACGTCTGTAAATTGAGTGTGACGAGTAATTGAATCAGCATTCAAAGTTTATAAATAGATAAGTAGAATTAATATTTTATAATTTCATAAATTACATGTGGGCTTTTGTAGGTGTGAAACTTGTGGTACAGAAGAAGCAAAGTACAGATGTCCGCGTTGTATGCGATATTCCTGCAGGTATATATGTAACTTCTTACCTTTTTACTTCTGTCTGTACCCTTCTTACCACAAAGTGTAAAAGTACTTTCTCTTTGTCCCTTCAGTTTGCCCTGTGTAAAGAAACACAAAGCAGAATTGACATGTAATGGAGTTCGAGATAAAACTGCATTTGTTTCAATACAACAATTTACTGAAATGAATCTTCTAAGTGGTAAGCCGTCTTATGTATAGCAAATTCATGTTTCCTGGCCATTGGCTTAGGTCATTTGTTTATTTTTCTGTTTTGAAATTTTTAGATTATCGATTTTTGGAAGATGTGGCAAGAACAGCAGACTATATTTCTAGAGACACTTTTTTGAAAAGACCAACAGGAAATAAACATGTAAGTATTTATTCTAGTCCCTTCCAGTTATAATTCCTTTGAGTCAGTTAGGTTCATTCTTTTATTCAATAAATTAGGTGGCTGCCATGATCCAGCACTATCCTAGTTACTTGGGAGACAGCAGTGAACAAAATAAAGTCCCTCCCCTCATGTCAGGTGTATTGTAGTAGAGGAGATAGAAGAGATGAGTAGAGGAGCAACGATAATCTCAGACAGAGTTAAGCACGTGCAGAAAATGAAGAAGTCTGAGGGGGAAAAAAAAGTCTGAGGAGACAAAGAGAATGACAGTGGTATGTGCATGTGGTGGGGGTGCTTCAGGGTGCTATTTTGATAGAGTAGTCAGGAGAAACTTTCCTGAAGAGGTGGTATTTAAGCAGTGATCTAAATGATGAGAAAGAAACAGTCATGTGAATATTTCAGGGCAGATTATTCCAGGTGGAGACAAGCAAAAGCAAAGTCCTGAGTCAAGGAGCAAGCTTGGCATGTTTGAGGAATAAGAGGTGACTGAAGCATAGTGAATGAGGAGAATTTTGAACATGAAGTTATAGAAACAGATAAGGGCTGGTAATATAGCTTAAGAGAAAATGGAAGCTGTGAGAGGGTTTTGAGCATTTTTGCTTTTTGAAAGATCTCTCTCTGTGTAGAGAATGGACTTTAGGGGGCAAGAGTGGAAGATTGGAAGCAGGGAGACCAATCACAACTATTGACTTTGGTCCAGGCAAGAGATGATGGTGGCTGAGATAAAGCTGTTAGAATTGTTGGGAATGATTAGATTCCAGTTTTAAAGGAAGAACTAACAGGACTTGGCTCTTTGCAATATGTTTAGTTTTCATACTCTTTCATTTCTGTATGTACTAAACAATTTAAAGCATATATGTATAAACCAAAATCCAAACTCATTGCTGTCAAGTCTGATTCTGACTCAAAGTGGCTATGAAACAGGGTAGAAACAGAGTAGAACTACCCCATAGGGTTTCCAAGGCTGTAATTGTTACCAAAGCAAATTGCCACATTTTTCTCCCACAGAACGGCTGGTAGATTCAAACCACTGACCTTTTGGTTAGCGCAGCGCTTAACCACTGCACCACCAGGGCTCCCTATATGTATATATGTAATATGTACGTATGTATGTATATAATACTAGTATTCTAGAAATAATTTAGTAGTGTGATTAAATCACATTGTATAGGGTTATGTTCATTTTCCAGAAGCCATTTTAGTGTTGAGTTACAGAATTTTAATACCTTTGAATACCTTTTTTTATTGGTATTTTTGGTACAGACATGACAGTACACATATCTGAAAGAAAAATTATTATGTATCAACTCTATTTTTCATCCAGCTTAATTAGGCATAATCAAAATTCTACTTAAAGATAAGTAATTACTTTTTTATTATGAAATGCATAAAATGGAAAATGCACTCTGATGAATAGGTATAAAGTAAACATCCATGTAACTACATCTAAATCTAGAAGTAGATCATTAGAAGCTTCCCAGAAGTTCCTTGCTACCCACTTATCTGTCCCTTATCCAGTGCTACTGTATTTTTCGCAAATTATGTGCCCACATAAATATCTCACCCACAGATATAATGTGCATAGTGTGCCTAGGAAAATAATGCGTGAAGGGGTTGTGCAGTTGGCAAAAAACATAATGTGTGCATTATTTCCATAAAAATATGGTACACTGTCTCAATTACTGTAGCAGTTTACTGAAACTCACTATCTGATAGAGTAAATTGTCCACCTTATTCTTTTTCTAGAGTATGGCTATTGAGTGCATTTTACAATTCTGTTCAAATATTAAGAAATTAAGAATTTCTAAATAGTTTTCTATCATATGACTATACGACAACTTATCCATTTTACTGTTCATGCACTTTGGATTTTCTATAATAAAGAAAAAGGAAGGAATAAAGGAGGAAAAAACTCTATGATACTATTATGGAATTGCTTTGTTGTGCTGTTGTGGAATTGCTTTGTTGTAGAGGTAAACACATCTTTGCTTCCGTTGTTTCTAAAACATTTTCCAAAGTGATTGTATCAGTTCACATCCCCACTGCTAGTGTCTATCTGTTGTCACATTCTCCCCAATACTTGATTCGATCAGAGTTTTAAAATTTTTGTCAATCTGATCACTGTATAGTGTTACTGTGATTTTTAAGTTGTAGTTCTGTGAATCCTAATGAGATGTTAAGCACCTTTCAAATATTTTATTGACCATTTGGATTTCCTCTTCTGTGACGTACATATTCAAGTTTTTTGTTTATTCATTGTTAATAGTCAACTTTCTTTTTCTTACCACTGGTGTGTAGAGATTCTATGTATTTCCTGAATGCCAGTTGATAGTAGCATGTGTTATAAATTCTTTCTCCCTTTCTGTGGCTTGTCTTTTTACTCTGTGGTGTCTTAGTGGATTAAAAAAAAAAAACTCATTGCCATTGACTCAGAGCAACTCTATAGATATTTCTAATTTAATGTAATCTAATTTATCATTTGTTTCCTTTATAGTCTGTGGTTTTATGTCTTTTTAAAGAAATCTTTTCCTACCTTAAAGTCTTAAAGATATTCTTTCATAATTATTTCCTAAAAGCTTTATAGTATTGCCTTTCACATTTATGGCTTTAAATTACCTGGAATTGATTTTTGTGTAATACGTGAAGTGGAGGCACAATTTAATTTACTTCCCTATGTGGATATCCACTTTTCTTAGCACCATTTATTGGAAAGGTCATCTTTTCCCTACTGCTCTACAGGACCACCTTTGTTACGTATCATGCAATCCATATATACTTGAATCTGTTTCTAACCTGTCTGTTCCATTCCGTTAAATGCTTTTCTATCCCTTCACCAATTACTGTAGCTTTTTACTGAAACTCTGATTTGCTAGAATGAAGCTTCCAACCTTGTTCTTTTTCTAGAGTATGACTTTTCAGTGTCAAATATTAAGAAAGAATTAGCTTGTTGATTCTGCAGCCTCCTACCCCTACCCCAACCCTCAGCCAGGAATTTTAATTGAGATTGCATTTATTTTGAAGGTCAGCTTCTTTGTTAATCTATAGGTTTGACTTTTTTACAATTTGAATCTTTAAATCCTTGACTGTCTTGTATCTGTCCATTTTTTTGGATCTTCTTTAATGTCTTTCTCTATATTTTCTCAGTAGAGGTCTTGTTGGATTTATTCTTGAGCACTTTATTTTTTGATGCTATCTTAAACACTATCTTCTTTTTAGTTTTTTTTATTATGTTTAGCTGGCGTACAGGAATGGGATTTTTTATTTTTACTTTTTATAGTGAGCAACCATATAAATACCTGTTTCAGTATTTTATATGTAGATTCTTTGAGACTTTCTCTGTAAGCAGTCCATCACAATTTTGTTTCTTTCTTTCTAATCCTTACTCTTTTTATCTCTTTTTCTTGCCTTTTTGGAATAACTAGTACCTCTAATTCAATGTTAGATGCTAGTGATGATGGTAGACATCTGTATCAGGGATCCCTGGGTCCACTCCCAGGTTTAGTGATTCAGTAGAAGGACTCAGGGCTTAGTATATAGTCATACTCATGGTTAAGATTTAATTCAGTGAAAGCATACATAGTAGAATTAGCAAAGGGAAAAGGTGCATAGGACAAAAGTCCAGAGGAAACTAGGTGTAAGCTTCCAGGAGTTCTCTTCCAGTGGAGTCACACTTAATTCCTTCAGCAATGAGTTGTGACAATATGTGTGAGGTGTTGTCTACCAGGGAAGCTTATTAGAGACTCGGTGCTCAAGGTTTTTATTGGAGGATATAGGTACCCTCTTCCTAGCGTGTACTAAATTTCCAGACTCCCAAAAGGAAAGCAAGTGTTCAGCATAAACCACATTGTTCGTGCTATGACTGTTAACCAAAAGGTCGACAGTTCGAATCCACCATCCACTCCTTGGAAACCCCATGGAGCAGTTCTACTCTGTCCTGTAGGGTCGCTGTGAGTTGGAATCGACATGATGGCAACAGGTTTGGTTTGGTTTTTTTTAGGGAATTATTTACAAGGCAAGTTCCCAGATGCCAACCAAGGGCCAGTTTTGCAAATGGACTTTTCAGAGGATAGTAGTCTCAGGCCTGTTGTGTTAGCTCTTTTCTGCACAACATTTTTGTCTTATTCCTCCTCATCTCACAGGGGAAGCTTTCAGTATTTCACCATTAAGGTGATGTTTGCTTTTAAATATTTTGCTGATGTCATTTATTTGATTAAGGAAATTCTATCCTAGTTTGTTGGAGCCCTGGTGGCACAATGGATAAGAGCTTTGCTGCTAACCAAAAGGTCGGCAGTTCAAATCCACCAGCTGCTCCTTGGAAACCCTATGGGACAGTTCTATTCTGCCCTGTAGGGTCACTATGAGTCAGAATCGACTCAACAGCAATGGAGGAGGATCCTAGTTTGTTAACAGGTTTTATTGTGAATTGGGTTTATAGTTGATCTAATACTTTTTTATTCGATTATTTTAATTTAATATGGTGATTTGCATTAATTGATTTTCGTATTTAAACTAATCTGGCGTGATATATTATGATCATGATATGTCATGCTTTGTATACATTGCAGAATTTAATTACATTATATGGGTGTGTGTGCATTTCTGTCTACTCATTTGTTCATTTTTTTATCTGTTCATGAGACTGACATCTAATTTTCCTGTTTTGTATTCTTGTATCTATGTGATGCTGACCTCATAAAATTAGTTGGGAATATTCTCATTCTGTTCATGGAAGCGCTGACTAATATTGGAATTCTTTCTTCCTCTAGAGTTTGTAGAATTTGTCAGTGAACCCATATGGGCTTGGAGTTTTGGCCACTGTGTAATTTCTTTAATAATTATAGGACTCTTCAGGTTTTATAGGTCTTGAGCCAGTTTTGATAAACTGCGTTTTTTAAGAATTTGTCCATTTGATCTAAGTTGTCAAATTTATTAGCATAAAGTTTTTCATAATATTCTTCTTTTTTTTAATATGTCTGCAGAACTTGTAACCATTTCATTTGTGATTTTGGTTATTTGTGTCTTTTTCTAAATCAGTTGCTATTACATGTTTGCTTTATGTTTTGTTCATGTGTTCTCTGAATTTTATTATTTCCTTCTGGTTTTTTTTTTTGTTTTTTTTTTGGTCTTTTTCTAATTTGTTATGATAGATGATTGGCTCATTACTTTTTAATCTTTATTCTTTTCTCATATATACATTTAAGAATATAAATCTCTCTCTTAAGTATTGCTTGATTTATATCCCAAAAGTTTTGAAATAGAGCATTTTTTAATGATTTCTTCTTTGATCTGTGGGTAGTTTAGTTTGTGTTTCTTAATTAATTTGGGGATTTTCTGAATACTTTATTTTTGGCTTAATTGCATTTTGATCAGAGACCATATTCTGTCTGAATTCATTACAAAATTTAAGGAGACTTGTTTGTATGGCCCAGTATATGGTCAAGTATTTGCCTGCTATTTCTGAATAATTTTGTCAGCTTCTTGATGCTTTTAATCTGATCTTTATATATACATACGTGTGTGTGTGTGTGTGTGTGTGTGTGTGTATGTATTTCCTCCCATTATCAGGCATTCTTAGATGTTTTCAGCGGGAGAGTTGGTCCATCTTATTGCTACTATTATTGAAGCCAATGTACTATAAATTATTTGTTTAAAAGTTATGAAATTACATGTACTTTCTTAAATCATTTTCCTAGTTAGCCAATGAAAGGGTCTTCCTTTTTCTTGGCTTATGGCTTGATTGTCTTTTTCACTGCAAATCCTAGATCCTCATTCACTTAACAAAAAAAACTTGGCGTTTTCTTTGCCTTTTCCTTGAGTGATCCTTCTTTCTTGACTTAACTGAAATGTAATGATACTTCTTTCACCATTCTCTGAGGTTCCCTAGTTCAGCTTATCCAGCCCAGGTGATTATTGGAGTGACACATATCACAGTCAGAATGTTCTCATATCCCAGTTTTCTGCTACCCATAACAGTGACTCCTTTTGAGTTAGGCCTTATACTAGGCAGTACCCTGGTTTCTCCTTGAGTGAGCCACCTATTGAGTGATAAAGGCATACGGATAGTGAGAATAGACTCGATGGCAATGGGTTTGGAGCCCTGGTGGTGCAGTGGTTAAGCATTCAGCTGCTAACCACAAGGTTGGCAGTGCAAACCCACCCACCAGCTCCATGGGAGAAAGACCTGGCAATTTGCTCCTGTAAAAATTTCAGCCTTTGTGGAGACCATGGTCTCGGGGAACATCTAGCTCAATTGGCATAACATAGTTTATAAAGAAAATGTTCTGCATTCTGCTTTGGTGAGTTGCGTCTGGGGTCTTAAAAGCTTATGAGCAACCATCTAAGATACTCCACTGCTCTCACCCTTTCGGGAGCAAGGGAGAATGAAGAAAACAAGATACAAGGGAAAGATCAGTCTAGAGGACTAATGGACCACAACTACCACAGCCTCCACCAGACTGAGTCCAGTACAACTAGATGGTGCCTGGCTACCACCATCAACTGCTCTGACAGGGATCACAAAAGAGGGTCACAGAGCTGGAGAAAAATGTAGAACAAAATTCTAACTCAAAAAAAGACCAGACTTACTTGCCTGACAGAGACTGGTGGAACCCCAAGAGTGTGACCTCTGGATACCCTTTTAACTCAGTAATGAAGTCATTCCTGAGGTTCACCCTTCATCCAAAGATTGGACAGGCCCGTAAAACAAAATGAGAGTAAAGGGGCACACTAGCCCAGGGGCAAGGACTAGAAGGCAAGAGGGGACAGGAAAGCTGGTGATTGGGAACCCAAGGTCGAGAAGGGAGAGTGTTGACATGTGAGGTTGGTAACCAGTGTCACAAAACAATATGTGTACTAAATGTTTAATGAGAAGCTAGTTTGTTCTGTAAACCTTCATCTAAAGTACAATAATGAAAAAAAAACAAAACTGCAGCCTAGAAAACCCTGTGGGGCAGTTTGACTCTCACATGGGGTCACTATGAGTTGAAATTGACTCCATGGCACCTAACAACAACATGGAATAAAACAGTCAGAAAAAGGGAAGTAAAGAACTGTGTAAGTAGCTCCTGTAATTGCCAAGTGACCTGTATTTTTTTTTTTAATTCCCGTGAAATTCTTTTGGCTTATGAAGTGTATGGTTAAAAGCATAGACTCTGGAATTAGACAGACCTGGGTTTGAGTGCAGGCTCTACCTCTCAGAAATAGCTATATAATGTTGCAATATCATTAATTCTCATTGCTAAAATAGAGTGATAATAGTTGCTGTCTCATAGTAATGTTGTGAAGAGTAAATGAGTTATTACTGCTTACTGTTTGTGATGCATGATAATCAGTCAGTAAATATTAACTGTTATTTTGCTGAACATTGTTTTACTCACTTTTGAAAATTAAGGCATTTTAAACTTAATGTGTCTGTTTTTGGTTATTAGATGTACTATCTGAAAAACCGTGCCCGGAGGCAAGGTATTTACTTAAAACTTCTGCCCAATGGATTTACCAAGAGAAAAGAGAATTCAACATTTTTTGATAAGAAGTAAGTTTCTAACTTCTTTGTTAACATATCTGTTGCTCTGATTTGATCAGGAACATCCTTTAAGGTTTGGTTTGCCCTGAGCATTGCTACCCAAAGTGTGGTCTGTGAGCTCTTTGTTATTGGTCCATACCAAGATAACAGCACAAATTGAGAATAAGCCTTTAGAAACCTTTTATAACATTTTGACAGTAATTTTATGTCACGTGAACCTGTTAATAAAAATTTGGGCATTGTACTGTCTATGTGAGTGTGCACACACATTTTCTTGATTTCCTTTGAGAAGCTGTTTAAATGTTAATGTGCATATGAATCTCCTAGGGATCTTGTTAGTAAGCAGATTGTGGTTCAGTAGGCCTTGGTTGGAGTTTGATATTGTGCATTTCTAACAAGCTCCCCCGTGATGCTGATAGGTTTAGAAGTATACTTTGAGTAGTAGTGCTCTAGAACACTCTCATACATTAAAAATAAACTATGTGTCTCTGAGACCTGAGGTACCATGGAAGTATTTCAGGGGCTTCAGGGACAAAGTGGTGAGTCAGAGAAGGGCCTCTACATTCCTTTAACTGGAGCGACTGTTTTTATAATCCTTTCTATCTTGGGATTCCAAATAAGATTTCATTTAAAAGTGGACAAAAGGGTAGAACAGGACTTTGAGAACATTTACTCTGATGATGAATCTGAGAGAGATAAGAAAATAGTCTACTTTGCTGCTTTCTGAAAGTGTTGGGATGAGAAGGCCCCAATACCACAGAGAGCAGCGTCTCAAAGTATTGTTAAGTAACTAATTAAATTATTGGATAATACCTTTCAGAAGTCAAGATTCTGGATGGAGGGCTAGAAAATTTGATTCTCCTTCAGCCTGAGTAACTACTGGGACGTTGAACAATTTGGATGGCTCTGTCTTTTCAGTTTATGGAATAGTATAATTGGAAGGGAATCTTAGAGTTTACCTGGTCTAAATCACTTCCCTTCTCTGGATCTCACCTGTATGATTAGCCTGTTGGACTAGGTAAACTCTGAGATTCCCTTCCAATTATACTACTCCATAAATTGAAAAGACAGAACCATCAGAATTATTGTTCTAATAAACGTTCCAGCTTTTCAAAGGATGTTGTATTATTATAAGATGTTGCTATCCATTTATTGCGTATGTTCAAGACTTATAAATATTTATAGAAGTGGTTTATCTTTTTCCTGGTTGGCTCCCAAAAGTGAAATAATGTCTTGCATTTATCAAATATGAGACTGTTCCTTTGTGCATTTGGAAACTGGCATATTTAGAAATTGACAAGAGCTGTTTGAATTTTAAGATAACTGATTTGTGCTTTATCAGATATAAAATGTGTTTTCTGAAGGAAACAATTCAAAATGATTGTCATCAGAGCTTAGTTCTCAAAGCTAAAGAATTTACATTCTCAAATATAATATTTTTGTGTCTCTAGGGACTCTTAGATTTTGGAGCCCTGGTGGCACAGTAGTTAAGTGCTCAGCTGCTAACCAAAAGGTCAGCAGTTGGAATCCACCAGGCACTCCTTGGAAACCCTGCGGGGCAGTTCTCTGTCCTGTGGGGTCGCTATGAGTCAGAATTGACTTAACAGCAAAGAGTTTGTTTTTTTTGTTTTGTGTGTTTGTTTGTTTGTTTGTTTGTTTTTGAGATTCATAACTGTTTCTGGGAGAGTTTTTCCAAGAATATTACATTCAGTATATATTCTGGATTTAGAACCCAAATTTATATTCTTCATTATTTGGGAGCATCCCAGGTCTCTGGGGTGGCAAATTGGACTTCTTGCATTATGTCTTTCACTGAAGAATTTAATCAGGGGTTGATTTTCTTAAATTTTAGTGGTTTCCCATTAGGCTAAGAAATTGACACAATGCTTTAGAGTCAGTTTCTTTGCCTCCTTTTTCATCTAAACAATGAAGCTGATAATAGCTTTCTTGGAGTTGTGGCCTTTGGTGTATTAACTCACCTAGAAAGTGACTGCTATGTAGGAAGGAATCAGTATGTAGTGGCTGTTGTAATAATAACACATCCTCATCATTAAAAAGGAAAAATAACACCTGCGGTGCCACTATCTAGAGATGACCACTGATATAATTTTCTAATATTTCCTTACACTCATATTTTCTTTACTTTTTCAATTAATAAAGTGGAGCATAATATTAAAAATCCAAACAAAAGCATGAAAAGTGACATCCCTCTCCCCAAATTATCCATTACTAGTAGTTTTTCTATAAATAAGCATACGCACTTTTTTCTGCATCTAGTTTTTCTCCATTTAACAGTGTATTATCCTATCTTATTCCAAATAATTCTGCCACCATTAACATAAACTCAGTGGCCCCTATTAAAAAATTCCCCTTTTTTCCCTTCCTCCCACCCCTGGGAACCACTAATAATCTTTGGTTTTTACATATGTGCTTATTTCATTTAAGTGAGATGGTACAGTATTTGTCCTTTTGCAACTGACTTACTTCACGCAGCATAATGTTTTCAAGGTTCATTTATGTCGTGTCATGCATCGGGACTTCATTTCTCTTTATGGCTGAGTAGTATTCCATTGTGTGTATATATCAAATTTTACCACTTATCTGCTGATGGACATTTTGTTTGTTTCCACCTTTTGGCTATTGTGAAAAGTGCTGCAGTGAACATTGATGTACAGGTTCTACCCCATTTTCAAATAGTATATTCTATAGTACAAATATATCCTAACTTATAATTCTCTTATTGTGAACATTCAACTTGTTTCTAGTTTTCAATTATTACAAATAATGTTGCAGTAAACTTCCTAGAACAAATTGTGTGCTTTTGTGACTTTTTATGTAGAATCAAGTCCTAGAAGTAGAATTCCTGGGTCAGAGAGTATATTCATTTAAAGTTTTGATTTAAAAAAAAAAAACCCATTGCCATCAGGTCGATTCCATCTCATACCGGCGCTGTAGGACAGAGTGGAACTTCCTCATAGGATTTCCAAGGAGCGGCTGGTGGATTTAAACTGCCAGCCTTTTGGTTAGCAGCTGAATTCTTGACCATTGTGCTTCCAGGACTAGAAACTCCAAATTGTCCTCCAAAAAAAAGGACCATTTTGTACCCTCACAAGAAAAGTTCAAGAGTACTTGTTTTAATTATAATTGTACTTTCATTGAATGTTATTAAACTTTTTTTTGCACATCCTTGATTATTAGAGAGACTGAGCTCTTGGGATATTTTTACTAGAGACTTGTCTGTTTATATCTCTTGCTGTTTTTTATATCTTTGTTACATACATTACAAATTTTTTCACCTAATCTTTTAATCTGTAACTTTGTCTTCCAATTCTTTTGATGCATTTTATATAGTTGTGAACATCCTATGTAAAAAATTCTTTGCAACATATAGTAAAATACTGTACCTCTGTTCAGATTTCTCATCAACTTTTTCCAAGTTATGTAACCTTGAGGTAAGCTTAAATTCTTTGTGACTCAGTTTTCCCATCTGTAAAATGAGAATAATAATAATAAACTGGGGTTGTATCAGTTTTCACTTTCATATGCGGTACATGAGAATACCTGTTAAAACATCCCTCATTAGCACTTAGAGTCTCTGGGTGGTGCAAATAGTTTGCACACTTAGCTGCTAATTGAAATGTTGGAGGTTCAAGTCCACCCAGAGGTGGCTTGGAAGAAGACCTTGTGTACTTCTGAAAAATCAGTGTTGTAAAAAACAGTTCTGTTCTGACTCACATAGGGTTGCTATAATTTGGAATCGACTCAATGGCAACTGGTTTCATTAGCAGTGAGTAGTCTCATTTGAAAACAAATCATTGCTAACTTGAAAGGTGGAAATGGTATTTTGCTTTAATTTAATTGCTGTTGAAATGTGGAATATTTGCCCATATGTTTTGGAGTGATATTTCAAACTTCAAGTGTAGAGTTTGACTTATAATCAGTTGTGGTAAGGTGCTCATTCATTCGTAGAACCATTTTGGGAGTTGGTTAAGTGGAAAAAGTATTCAAATACATATCTGAATTATTCCATTAGTTCATTATTAAATTGCTGATTCTTATTTCTAAATGGAAAGTGTTTTTGCAACTGTTTGAGTTGGAATCGAGTCAATGGCAGTGGGTTTGGTTTGGTATGGGTGTTAGGTGCCATCGAGTCACCTCCAACTCACAGCGACATTATGTATAACAGAATGAAACACTGCCCGATCCTGTACCATCCTTACAATCATTGCTATGTTTGAGAACATTGTTTTGCTAGTAAATACATTTTAAAACACTTGTATTCATATGTTAGCTGAATAATTATGCATTAAGGTGCGTTCTCAGCTAGCAGAATAGCTATACTTAAAAAATATTGCTGGTTGATAGCTTGGAATCTCTTTAGTATGCCTCAGTATTTGTTCATATTCAGTCAGCAGTTTAATAAGTGATTTAGATCAGGGTTTCTCAGCTTTGGCCCTGTTGACATTTAGAGCTGGATAATAGGGGGGTAGGGTGACTGTAGGATGTTTAGCAGCATCTCTAACCTTTGCTGACTAAACGCTGGTAGCATGCTCATGCGCGCGCGCGCACACACACACACACACACACACACGTTATGACAACAGAAAATGTCTTCAGACATTGCCAGATGTCCCCATTGTCCCCTGGGGGACAAAACAGTCTCTTTTTCAGAACGGCCGATTTAGATGAACATAGAAGGCATACTTACTGAATAGATGATTCACATCTTTTCCTAGGCCAGATAATTGATACATTGTATGACAGAATCAGAATTGCAGATTTTGATTACTAAAAGAGAGTATGTAAGTTATAAAAAGTCCTTGAGGGAAAAGAATGAAGAACTTTGTTCAGGATACCTCCCTTTTATCATTCATTTATATGAAAATGAGCAGAGGTTTTAGATGATTATAGTGGTATTTGCTAGAAGGAGGTAAGTAAAATCTTTACAAAGAAAGGAATCCCACGCCCCCAGTAGTCTATTTCTAAGAGACTAGTTTTCAGTGCATTTT